CTCCTCCCGACACCCCACACACTGAGAAAGTCACAAGAACACACGTATCAGTCCTCTCTGCCTGCTGACAGGAGTGTTCATTACCACAACTCTTCCGAAATCAACTTAGCAAAATAATTCCCCAGCCTTCAAGATCGTCCACCCCGTTGGTCCAGCCATCTCACCCCAGTGACGGAAGAAACGTGTACACATAGAGGGTCATCCCACAATCATTTACAGGAATAAATAATTTAAGAGGCGATGGGTTAAAGTTAATCACGGGACATGTAAAGATTATATCTTAGAAAAATATTTAACAACATCCCCCAAATGGCCCTGCTCTTTGCTCCTGATCGCTTGTCCAGAATTTGACAATGGGACACGATCTACCATGTGTTTATATCCTTCATGTATGAAGAGCACATGCAGAGAAATAATTAATATCCTAAGATGCCAACTGAAAAGCGGACAAAGGGCATGAACTGACACTTCACATAAGAGTGCCAACAATAGTGAAACTTGCCATGTTTAAGCTCACCTCACCGATGAAAGCAACAACAAGCGATGAAAATGCAAACACACTTTTTGTAGCATCTGTAAAGGGGACACTCACGTTTTGGGGGGCGGAGGCTTTCATACACTGCAGGTCGGCATATGACAGGACAACTTTCTGGAAGGCAATTAGGAAACAGTTGTCAAGAGCTTTAAAAATGTTCCTATCTTTTGACCTAACGACTTCAGTAAATAGATTCCAAATTCCAAACAGATTCTAAATAAAATAGTTCTCTAGACCAGCGGTTCTCAACCTGTGGGTCGCGACCCCTTTGGCGGTCGAACGACCCTTTCACAGGGGTCGCCTAAGACCATCCTGCATATCAGATATTTACATGACGATTCATAACAGTAGCAACATGACAGTCATGAAGTAGCAACGAAAATAATGTTATGGTTGGGTCACAACATGAGGAACTGATTTAAAGGGCCAGAAGGTTGAGAACCACTGCTCTAGAAACATATATATATCTAAATTCAAAAAATAAGAGCTGACAATAGAAGCAATTACACTGAGACTATTAATGGGTGGCCATGAAAAAGAGGCTTGCAATGAATTGCTAATGACTTGACATTTCCATGACAAAAGTAAAATGAACAGAATCCAACATTTTATAGTCAACATGGTTACAATTACAGTAAATATACACACACATTTATAGGCACATAGGATGGGAAGAAGGTTTCCAAAGTTAATATTAGTTCCAGGTTGTGAGAGCTTAGAGGATTATCTATTTTTTATATGTTTATGATTTTCAAGTTTTAAAACAATGACATTGATTTTATAATCATATATCAAAATGGACAACTTTCGGCCCTAGCTGGTGTGGCTCAGTGGATAGAGCGTCAGCCTAAGCACTGAAGGGTCCCGAGTTCGATTCTGGTCAAGGGCACATGTCCGGGTTGTGGGCTCAATCCCCAGTAAGGGGCGTGCAGGAGGAAGCCGATCAATGATTCTCTGTCATCATTGATGTTTCTCTCTCCCTCTCCCTTCCTCTCTGAAATCAATAAAAATATTTTTTAATGAACAACTTTCACGAATTTATTAATTCAACAGCTAATGAATCAACAACCTGTTAACGTTTTGATCGACAAACACAAAGTTCTTGCCATAAACCAAGCAAAGAAGCATCCTTTGTGAAAATAGAAGTCTAGTGAGTGGAGCTACTGGTTCTCCATAAAAGTTCCTGAAAGTTTTCACACTCAGAAAGCAAAAGATGCCCTAACCGGTTTGGCTCAGTGGCTAGAGCATTGGCCTGCGGACTGAAAGGTCCAAGGTTGGATTCTGGGCAAGGGCATGTACCTTGGTTGCGGGCACATCCCCAGTAGGGAGTGTGCAGGAGGCAGCTGATCGATGTTTCTCTTTCATCAATGTTTCTCTCTATCCCTCTCCCTCCCTCTCTGTAACAAATCAATAAAATGTATTTTTTAAAAAAAAGAAAGCAAAAGACGGAAATCAAATATACTTAATAACGGGCAACTGACCCATCATCTGAAGTGAAATCCAAGTGCATGTGTTTTCAGGAATGGGAAGATGTCCATGTTTGGCGTGGGAATAAATGAAAGAGTGAGAAAGTTTGGAGAAACGTCTGATGCTCCTGAGATGTCAGATGTGAGGCTTCATGGATTCCCATCTTCGGGGAGGGATCTCAAAAACCCAGTGCACGTGTCCTACCCCCTGGGACTTGTTTGGCTCCTACACAGTGAAGGTAACTGGTAACCAGCTCATAGTTAAGATCTTTTTTGAAATGGAATTTTCTCTAGAGCCAATTTCTTGGTTGCTCTGTACCTAATTTAAGTCCCATGGGGAGCCATTCTAATCTCCCCCAGCAGACTTTATCTTAAATGAGGCTGATCTATAATCCTGTTACACGTGTCTGTGTGTCTAACAGGAAATGCCACTGGAGGCCCTGCGTTTCTAAAGAATACTGTGTGGCTTTAACACCCTCCACGCGCTTTACTGGGGTCAAGGAAGTGAGCTGTTTGCCTGGACACAGGTCAGTTCACTGTCCCCAGTAAAAGTGATGGGAAGATGGTGAGATTTATATTAACTTTGCTTGTTCAAACAATAGGTCACAGTTGCCTGGCAGCTTGCAAGAGATACGATGCTGTAAAGGGAATGAATGAAACAGAGGATCAAATGAAACACTGCGTTGAAACTAGCAGGGCATCCGGGTGCAATAATCAGAAAAAATCCAGATGTGTCCCCTAGCCAGTGGTTCTCAAAGTGGGGCCCCAGGACCAGCAGTGCCAGCCTTGCTTGTGAACTTGGGCTCCCCACCCCCCCAGATCAACTCAATCCGTAGCGTAACAAGCCCCCCAGGTGACCAGGATGCACCCCGAAGTCTGAGAAATGCTGAGCTAGACAGACGTATGGGATTTTGCTGAGATGGATGGTTTTCTGCTCCCTGCCTGGTTTTGACGGGCATCTCGTGCCTGGAGTCATGTTCAAGTGACTGGCGGGTCACTGATGCAGTCCTCTTGGGACAATGACTCGATACTGAGGGACCACTGCTGGGAGAGGGGGGAAGGCACATACTGATCCCGCTTGAGTACTTTCTGTCTCAAGACCAAACTGGTCAGGGGGCTGAGGCCTGAAGTTACAGGGATCCATGGATCTGGCTGTAGAGGCTGGGAGCCTCCCTATGGAGGGCGGCCAGGAGGGGAACTGACATTTTTGTAATATGTACTCACCACGAGGGCCTGGGGAGCAGCGGATCTGACCTGGGGACCCAGACGATCATCTTAATTTAGATCGCTGCTTGCCCCAAACCGACATGGGAGTGCACCTTGCCAAAGCCCGCAGACAGCAGCTCTGGCACGGGCACCCACACAGCAGCTGGCATCGCCGTGATGCGATGCCAGCTCCCTCCACGATACGCTGAGGGTGTCTGGCTTCATTCTTGGAAAAGTTTTGTTGGGTGAGTGAAATGGGAATCGTCTTGCTTTCCTGGGAAACGGCTGCTCCCTCTGTCTGCTACGCCTCTGGGCAGAATCTTTAGGCTTCCCTCTCTGCTGGTTCTGCCCCTCTAATAATAGCTCCACTGTTAGGAAGAGTGGCATGAACTATGGCTCATGATCCTGGGGACTGGGGGGGAGGGGGGGGCCTCTCCTTCTAATGTTTTGTAAGTTCTTTGTTAAAATTGTTCTTTGGTGGTTCTCTTTGCTTGCCCTCAATTGGATAGAGAAAAGACAAAATGAGCAAAATATTACTATGTCTTGAGCTGCTCTGATGAGCTGTTTTTCCCATCATTTTGGGATCTGTCCCCACACACACTGTTAAAAGTCCCTCATGCAATGACAACACCCTCCCTTTAAGCTTACTAGACTTGATGCACACCATTCACAATCTCACCTGACCATTTGGGGTAACCTCTTGTTTATCACCTCATTTTGCATGTTAACAGGTAGGATTCAGGCATATTCACCCCCTTAGATCATTTTTTCTTTTATGAATTTTTTTGGTTCATCTTCTTGAATGTCCACTCTACCGCCAATGACCCCGACTGCCCACCCCACCCCACCTAGCTTCTTTATTCCTCCCTGGAGAGGAAGCAGAAAGGCAAGAGAGTTTGCCATTGAGGAATCTGGGGAGTAAGGAAGGTCGGGGGAACATACGCTCAATTCTTAAGGGGCAGCTGTTCCTGGAATAACAGTTCCAAGAACCTGGGGCCCCAAACACAGGGGCTTGTTTCATATTAGCGTCTTAACAATGGCATCTTCAAATTAAGACGCATGCCATTTCCCTGTCTCAATCTCTCTTCGAGGCCATGCTCATAGCCACCCCCAGCTGTTTTGTGGGCACAAACGAAGGGACATTCTTTCCCAGGCTTGTGGGCCAAGATGCTTCCCTTCTGTGCCCTCCTTCCTTTTGTCACTGAGCTGTTCCTCCTGCCATCACGTAGCCGGGTGGGACAGGACGGGGCTGGGCCTGAACCTCTGCACCCTCCCTCTAATATGTGGCTGCCACTCATCAAATAGCTATCAACTCCCTCAGTTCACACCATCTCCACTCCCCGTTCCCAGGCAGGCTCTCCAACTCCCTCCATCGCTGTCCATCCCCGTCCTGTCTGATTCAGGGTTCAACACGCGGTCGGACTGTGCCATGAGGTTTTTTCTCTCCCCCCCCCCTCTGGTTCTCACTGGCCTCCCTTTTAATTATACTCCTCGGCACTTGTTAACAGTGATTCATATCCTTCATGCTCATGTGAATCACCTGGGGAATATTTCAAAAAGATAGGCCTTGACCAGACAGACCTAATCACAATCTCTGTGGGTGAGCTACAGGCTTCTGTGGTTTTCTAGCGTTTCCCGGGCCATCCTAATGTACAGCTGGGGCTGAGAGACACACACACAGTATATAGATGACTAACTTTAGTATTTAATCAGACCTTGCTATTGCTACGTACCTGTTTTATGAGTACATGTCTTGTAGACTCCCAGGGGACGTGTCCTACTTTCCTACCTGAGCCGGCGCTAGATACGGGGGTGAGACTTTTCCATGACTAGTTGGATATTTCCTTCTGCGAATAGTAAAATCACCTACGAGTTCAACAACCATGTTGAACACCTTTCCTGGGCCAGGCAGGCACCGGAACTCTAACGAGGAAAGCAATTAGCCTTGCTCGACTAGAGTCGCTGGCTCAGAGGGACTGGTTGTTGAGAATGTTACTAGTATTTGCTATGATTAACAGGACGGACTGAAAGAGGAGAGAATATGGAAGAGATCCTGATTGTGTGAAGGGTGAGAAGGTTCTGAGTATCTTGGGAAAATTCAAATATTTGTGCCATGGATATTCTATACCTCCCAAATGTACCTACATCCCCCTGCCCCCAAATTACCCTCAAGATGGATGATGGATGGATGAATGAATGGATGAATGTTGATGCTAATAATAAGTCATAGCTGCTCTGCTGGTATAGTTAGGTGGCAAATATTCCAGAGTCATGATTATTACAGAGGCCCAGAGAGTGGTTTAGGGTAGGCAAGCGATGAACTGGCAGCGATAAGGGATTCAGTTCAGTAGACGCAGGATGTGTTCATGTACTTTCAGGAAGTATGTCCGAGAAGGGCAACAGGAATGACTAAGAGTCATATATGACACCCGCACCCCAGGA